TTTTCGCCGGAAAGTTCTTTTTCTTAGAGAAGAAAAAAAAGGCACTGATTGGTTTTAGGAGGCTTTCTTGTTTTTCCGTTCGCCGGAAAAAAGTTTTCCGTTTATAGGCCGATTTTTGTTTATTTATACTCTCTCCTATTCATAATAAATGTCGTTTTGAGAAGTGACACAGTTATTAAGAATATTTTTTTGGTCAATAATAACCCTCATTAACGAGGATAGAGATGAATGTTTTGAGAAAAAATGAAGAGTGGGTATGAAAAGGCGTAGTGTATTTATCAGCTAAATGAGGGTAATAATGAAAAAATATGTACAAAATATCCAAAACGACATTTATTTTGTTAATAATTGATAATGTCAAAATGACTTTTAAAAAGAATATGAGGTAGTATTATCCAAGTGAGTGAGACAGTGAGTATGATTCGATATAAACAGTTCTGCTAGGAGTCATCGGATGAGCTTATGGAGTCATCCACAATTATTCATAAATAGTATATTGACATTTATCCTACAATAAATACACTGTTGACATGTGTCGATACATTTAAGTGATTGATGGCTCCATAAAAAAATAATCCGATGGTTCCATAAAATTTTTGTCGATATAAATCATAATTAGAAAAATTCAATCACAATTGTATGGATTTTAAATAATTCAAAATTTTATTGTCAATTTGTTATTAAAGAAAATAATAAAGATCAATCATAAAATAGTTTTGGAAATATAATAGTATTATATTTTAAATATGATCATTGGTTAAAATAAATTGTGCATAACGGTTTGATGGCATATGAATCAATATATTGATTACATAAGATGTAGTAAATATGTAATTTTTGTAATTTGGAAGGAATTGACCAAGTAATTAGCTTAGAAATTTTAACATTATTTTACTAATTGTTTAGGCAATTTTAAGAAATTTTACTATGACATTAAAATAAATTAATTTATTTAAAAAAAATCGTTTAATCAGACCAAAAATTTAATATTGATTTTAGAAAAATAACTTGAACAAAAAAAATTTATATTTATGTAACTTTCATATATCATTTAGTGTAAAACATAATTATTATTTTTAATAATAACTATATATGATACAATAAAAAATATAATTATTACTCAACTAATATACAATACACCAATTTTTGTCTTAATCAACCCAAAAAATGTGCATTAAAAATTTTATCCTTGATGGAATAGGTGGATTAATGTAAAAATAATAATAATGACAATATAATTTAGTTAATAATAATGACAATATAATAAAAATAATAGTCATTATAATAATAATAATTATTATTATTATTATTATTATTATTATTATATTATAATAATATCGGATTGTAACGTTTATTAGAGAAAAATGCCACATAGGTAAAATTTATTGAGTTTTATTTATTAGATTTTATTTAATGATTTTCTAACAATTATATATATATAGATTCCATAATTCACATTTAACAAAGAAAAATAGTAATGTAACGTTATTATTCAAGGCAATGATTATGGCATTTCAACTTCAATACAAAAGAAAAACTATCATATTCCAACGAAAAATCATACAGTAATATATTTAAATGAAAATGCCAACGGGTATTTTTTATAATAGTAATGTAACGTTATTATTCAAGGCAATGATTATGGTATTTCAATTTCAATACAAAAAAACTATCATATTCCGACGAAAAATCATACGGTAATATATTTAAATGAAAATGCCAACGATATTTCAATATAGTTTCCGTTGGAATGATTCCACCGAAAACTCAAACGAAGATATTCCATTGAAATGAGTTTTTCATTGGAATTTAGATGGAACTTGATCATTCCAACGGCTTTTTTCCAACGGTTTTTCATTGTAGAAATTTCCATTATAATATGTAATTTTCGTTGGAATATTTATTTTCACTCATATTTCAACCGTTGAAAATTTTATCATTGAAATCGACAAAATCTAACAAGAATTCTAATGGGAAACTCGTTCCAATAGAATATATTTATGAAATTTTCAATGGAATCCGTTAGAAAATTCCAAAAATAATAACATTGAAATATCCACTAAAATTGTCGCTAAAGTTTTGCAAGATTAGAGAATCGATGCAGTCCCACGCATATTAACCATAAGAGGGTGAGCCTAGGTGCACCATCGTGAGGTTTCATCCCAAACCCAATTGGTGATGGGAGGAGTAGCCCACTTGACTTATATACTAGACTCATTTTCTTTATAGAATCAATGTGGGACAACTCACAATGTGGGTAGAGATACAAACCCAGGCAAGAGTCGGCCTAGCTCTGATACCATGTAAGATTAGAGAATTGATGCGCTCCCACGCATATTAAGCGCACCATAAGAAGGTGAGCCTAGGTGCACCATAGTGAAGTTTCATCCCAAAACTAATTGGTGATGGGAGGAGTAGCCCACTTGGCTTATATACTAGGTTCATTTTCCATATATAATCAATGTGGGACAACTCACAAGTGATACTCTAACAAAATTTATTAAAATATAATTCCGTTGAAATTTCATTTTGCCTTATTCTTTACAAGTTGTATGATTGTAGATTCAAAAAGTGCATGTACTGAGTCATATTTTCAAGCTAACAATCAAAAAAGATGAAAGATGAAAAGATTCTTCAAATCACCAATTATTGTTACACATTTCATTTAAATTTAAAGTTCATTGTCCCACACATTTTCAAAAAGAATTAATTTTGAACAAACCCTTTTACTATTTAATGACACATTTGTAACTATAAGATAAGATCTTCTTCCATAGCCAATTGTATTTGTATCTTCTAAACACATCATCACCCATTTGTAAAAGGTTTTATCAATTATCAGTAGTAGCTTACAAACAGCAGCTTTGCTATGGAGTCATCGTATGACACGATTTATGGGGTCATCCTTATTCACAAATAGTGTCGACATGTTCATGCAATAAATATAGATGATTTCATAAGAAAACCATCCGATGACTACATAAAATTTTTGGACAACAATTGACGAAAAATTAAATAAAAATGGTATTCAATCACGCCAAATGATCTTATGTCTCAAAACTGTGCTAATTAGCCTAATTTAGACTTTGGACTACTGAGATTGATCATAGGGATTGAAATAAATTGTACAAGTTTTGAATGTATTGGTAAAATCACAAGACGTGTGGACATGACATTTTGAGAGAATTAACAAATATTCAAAAGATTTGAAAATGGTATTGATTAAGGAGATTAAAATTAACTAAGAAATAGGAAAACGCTTAATATGTCAAACATTATAGTTACTAGTAATATCCTGTGAACATGAACATATATACATAAAATATTTTAAGTAATATTTAAGAATTTAATATTAAAATTTTAGATAATGAACATGTTACATTTTAAAAATTTAACCATTTGGAAAAAGAAATTAATGATTGCTTATTATTATGAACAATTATTTATTATCATTAGATAATAGCAATTTGATTATTATTATTATTGTTGTTATTATTGTTATTGTTATTGTTATTATTATTATTATTACAAAAACAATTGTTTATAAGATTCTAAAGTTGTTTGACTATGCTATTAAAACAATTTACTAATTGTTTTTAAATATTTTTTTTTTCACTGAGATACAAAAGAAAAAATTAATATTGATGTTAAATAAAATAACTTGAAACAAGTTTATAATTATGTAATTTATATTTATTGTGAATTATTATTAGTTGGTATTAACATTTATTGTTATATAATATAATTGAAAAATACATGATTACACTCAATAGGATGTATTAGTGTGAGAAGTAAAAAACATTAATGATAAATTGTATTTTGACCCGTCAAACCCGATTTTAAATGGCAAAATCTGGTTTTGACATTAAGTTTGTCAATGTTAAAAGAATGGGTGCGTGGCTTGATCACGATGCTATTGGGATCTCCTACCCCGACG